GGAAAACCTGCAGGGAGTACTGGGCAGCTGTTTCGTCAGCCTAGTTTGGGACTCTTCAGCAGTACGCACCCACCACTGGGATTCGAACCCACAACTGTCTGGTTACAAGGTAAGCTTGTATACCATTAAGCCACTGGGATCCGATCCAATGGCCCATGAATTCCAACTTCTATCAATTCATGACATAGCGCGACGGCTAGCTAAAGTCTTTGGCGAGTATTTTTCCTCACACCTGACCTGTTGCCCCTTACTGGTCATGACTTCCCACTAGAACCCAGATAACTACCTGCCTAAATAGGGCTAGTCGCTAGTGAGCATTTCACTGATATTCAAGTATCGGTTTTTAGGGATTTGATTGACTGATTGATTGGTTACATGATTTCATCATAAGCTGACATCGGCGAATGCGTACTGATGAAGAGTCCCAAACTAGGACGAAACAGTTGTCCAGTACTCTCAGGTTTTCCAGTGGTTCTCTAACTGATGTCAGCTCATGATGAAATCTTGTAACCAATCAATCAAATCCCTACAAACAAATACTTGAAAATCAATTATAATTATCAATTTGAATTTTGCTTGAGACTGTTGCCTTTCTTTTGTCGACTGAACTAACTGTGTTTATTCTTTCCGACAAAAACAGAAGTTTCCAGGAGTTTTTTTTCACATTAGGCAGTTGTATTCCCCTTGTCTTTTTAGATGCAGAAAATACATTTATCGCTCTATATTTGTAATGATTGGCGAATTTGTTTCGCTTAGCCACCGCATCACTGTAAGATTCGCAAACAGGCAACTAAACGCTTCATAAGTAGAGATATCAGTAATAGAGACCAGTAGTAGTTAGATAGTGACTATCGTAACGTTGTGAAAATCAGGATAGGAACACCTAGTTTCAGGTCATCGGATGCTTACTTAAGTATTCTTCTTTTTGAGAAATATTTCATTTCTGTCATTTCTTGCTTGGTGTACCAACCTTTGCTAAGCTGAAGATGGAAGGAGAGTTCTATATGGAGATTACCGTAGAAGAACAATCCCATTGCCACTGGAATTTCAAAGTACAGAAATTACAAACTCATTTTTTGCTTGATTCGAGAAGACTACTCAATTCGAAGGCGGGTGACGCTATCGGATGAAAATCTTCAGGGAGTCAGTCGACTGACCTTCTTTGAAAACAAAAGTTAAAATGAGGACATAAAATCCCAAGTAATTCACGAAAAGAAGCCCACCAAAGCTTTTGAACTGAAGACAGAAGTGCGATAAGGCTTCCTACTACTGTGGAGTACGTAACGATATTATCGTACACTTTTTGTTAGGTGTTAAAATTAGAGACACTGTACATGACTTTTGTTTAAAACGATTCATGTTGAAATATAGATAACTTCTGAGTACAATCTAAAATAGAGTGTACTTTTGGTCAATTCGTCTTCTCACTGGTCTATGCTGTCTACCTGCTTCACTCATAACTCTGTTGTATACTTTGGATTTTTGCAGAAACCTCCTATCCTTATCCGAAGACTATTTTACAACCGGTACACAGCTACTACCAGAAGACACGACTCAAGCAGTGAACGCTTCTATGGATTATATTAATAATTTGTAGCCGTGGACTTTAACTGTATATTCAAGTAACCGTTTAATTAATATAACTCATTACCGTATTTTTTATAATATATTGTTACACTATCATCTGATTAACTTGGATTTTTATTCGCATACTTGATATGTTATTGAGCTCACTAGACAATCCCCTACACCACTAGCAGCCATCTTGAATATACTGAGATGGATCATGAGGCTGAACGTGGTGTCTTGGAAGATGTACATACGTTAAAAGGACGACACACCCTAGTAGACTAGGGTTTTTCAGAAGGTTTACGCCTCATGTCACTCAGATTAGAAGACATACAATTGGAAACCAAAAACTTCGCTAAAGGGGCGGAGAAGACATGACTTCAGGTGGACATTGAAAAAGTAGAGGTGATGAACATACAAGACTAATCACCATCAGTAGAAGAAATCTGAATGAAGTTGTCTCTTTCACTCAACTAAACAGGCAGTATCGTTTTAACTACAAGTGGTGACATGGATGGGACGGTCGAATCCAGCCAACTAGGATCCGGTTAGGAATGAAAACAGACAGGTGTTGATTACTCTTAATTCTATGTGGTGGACCTACGGAAATTAGAGAAAAGAACGGAATCTGAACTTTTAACACTACTTTCAAGCCAATCATTGATTCTGTACGGCTCATATACTCGGTGTGCATCCCACCAGAAGCATTTCCAACAGCCTACATAAGTTGCTATCAGGGAACTCTGTCAACATCCAGAGAGTCATGAATGAGGTGGATTAGACATTCGCTAAGGAGACGTTCAAGAGACATTACTCTGTAAACGGGTCCTCAACAGGAACTAGAATAGGAATTGATGGATTTGGTGTGGGGTCCAAAGGTGACATGGAGGAGGTTATTTCAGGAAGAAGTGAAATTCATGAAGCCTACGAAGCTTTATGTCTTGCAAGGAATGAATAATCATTATAACTACATAAAATTCATATTAACACAAATATTGGTTCTGCTAAAATTACATTGGCTCTTTCATGTTTACTGGATTTCTATTCAGTCACTAGTATTGTAGTTATGAATAATCAACTAGTGCCATTAAAACATGGAGTTGTCAGTTATTTCGGGTACTTTTGAACTGTTTGATAAAACTTACAAATTTCAGAGTTGGTGTGTTCCTAGGGGTATATATGGTTGTTAATATCGTATTCGGCTTCTTATACCCCATGCACCTTGATCATACTATTTCAACTCTGAACATTTTATTATCCTACCTACGGATCACACTGGATTCCTTATTAGACTGAGTTACTTTGGCGTTAGTAGTATTGATAACTTTTCTGTTTATCATCTAATAATCACGTCACTAACCAACGGAATTTTTTTTTTGTAGAGCAATTAACTGACATCGACTGAAAAGTAGGTAAAGAGGGGGATGTAATGTGTAGTTTCTTGTTCATAATCTGAAATTCACTTCAAAGTTGTCTACGGAATAAGAATTAGTCTTTCTAAAGTTGTACGAATCAGACTTCTTCAAGCTGCAGAAGCAATGGCGATTCACTTGCTAAGTCCTGAACTCTGCATACAGAAGAATTTCGTTCAATCACTACACTTGCAATGGACGGAATCCATCTTATTACCCGACAAGTAAATTCTACCTAATCTCATGGAGGATTTAATCATGAGCTGATATCAGTTAGAGAACCACTGGAAACCACCTGGGATTACTGGACAGCTGTTTCGTCCTAGTTTGGGACTCTTCATCAGTACGCACCCACAACACGGGATTCGAACCCAGGACCTTCTGGTTACAAGGATAGCGAGCTCGTAGACCATTGACCCAATGGGACCCGATCCAATGGTCCTTGAATTCTAACTTCTGCCATTTCACGACATAGCGCGACCACTTCACAATGTCTTCTTCGATGAGTTACTGCCTCATCTTCAACCTGCTGTACCCTACTGGTCACGGCTTCCCACTAGAACCCCAGGTTAACTGCCTGAATAGGGCCAGTCGCTAGTGAGCATCAGATTAATTTTCAATCTCTTCTTTTTCTGTCTCTTCATTAGTATTAGTTTGTCTTCTCAACTGTAATATTTTACATTTTAAACTTTCCTCTTCTCTACCCTCACCCGATTTAATTTCTACACTTCATTACTACTGTTACTGACTTGAACAACACTCACTTTCTAGTCATTTATGTTACGTCATGTAATTCATTTACTCAGTTTTAGTTCTAATTTAAATGGCATTATTCTCTACCCCACTTCTATTTAGTCTCTACCTGTAATTACCTCTGTTGCTACCCTAACCTAAGTTCAAACATTTTAGTCAATTATACTACGTCATCTAACTTACTAACCCAATCTTACTTTATTTGTTGTCTAATTAACCTTGTTTCTATATTAGATCATTCTTGCATTACCTGATTAATTATCTGAAACTTGACAAACCTCATGTACACACACACACACACACACACAAATAGTTATATATAAATGCGATTGTACAGCTATGTGAATGAATTCGCCGTCGAAAAGAGTCTCTTCGCTGAACGTCTTCTCTTTTTCATATGATTCAATGGAGATTTTTACGCAATTCACTAGCCGTACAACCATACCTAACACTTTCGAAGATTTTACTCAAAGTATTCAGTTTGGTGTAGAATAACCAAGAAAGTCTAATATCAACGTCGCATAAGTCAAAATGATCGAATGATTATGTTCTTATTCGAATTTTCAGAGATACCACTACACTTTTAGTATTTATTTAGACTATATTAGTTTATCAAGAAAACTATACTCAGAATTATTACCTAGTGAAGTAGATGAACAGGTAACTTTCATAAATCAGCCGAAAAATATAATACAAATTAATATTAGATACATGGAGGAAATTGTCGGCATGTCTTAGACTTAGGTTTCACGTTACCAAGGTTTGTCTACAGCCTTCTGAGATTCAGTAAGTACTGATACCAATGACAAGATAGGTGACACCGATTACTCTCCTAGTGACTGACCAACGTATACAGTATTCTTCTACAAGAGGTCAACCATTTTTGACCCAGCTAGCTTAGCGATGCTTGAAACGGATTCGAATCTTTGAAGGAATAGTAGTTTCTTCAAGATTGAAGAAACGCCTTGCTAATGAGTGCCAACAAGCCGGAAACCTGGTTCCAGTGCTTCCTATTGATTTCCCCCTACCATTTCATATCAGTTCATCAGAGTTCAACGCAGTGATGAGCCACCTAGTCTGATGATCACATTACAAACTTGATCGATAGAAGTTAGTCAACACCATTACCATGGTATCAACGCAGGCCACTGATTACCTCCTAGCTACCCAATGAAGATTAGCAGGTTTCAAAATCAGAAGCTAAAGACTTAATAATATCAGGCTACCTTTGTGCCTAACCAGCCAATGAAAAACAAATAAATAGTAGTAATATTAGTAGTCATTTTTATTTATTTTTATATATGTAGAAAAACAAAAGAAAATAAAACAAAAACGAAAAGCACAAACAAATAAATAAATAAAATCAAAAGAGAAAAGTGTAGAGGTAGGAGGAATTGTAGGGAAGTAAGATTGGGGAGTAGGGAGGCAGTCAGATAGAGAGACAGATCAATAAACTGCGAACGAAAAAAAACACAAGAATAACAAGTCTAAAATTGAATACATTCGAATTGAAGACCCATCTCTCTCTCTCTCTGTATTGCACACTCAGGCACACATGCACACAGTGGTGACCACCTACACATGCCTACTTTGTAGACTTATAGCCATGAAGTTCCTTACTCTCGTCCAGTGTCTGCTTTTGTAATAATATATGCCTGTGTTGTGCGCTGTGTCATTTGCCTTTTCGATTTTAGAAAGCCCATTATCAGTCAGTGAATTAGTTAGTTAGTTGGTTAGTTCGTTAACCAGCTGTTCATTAATTATCAGAGTACCATAAGTACACATAAGAAGCGTAAATAGCCAAATAGTAGTAATAATAATAATAATAGTTGTAGTAGTAATAAAAGCACTACCAGACCAGTAAAAATAAGAGTAAAAATGAAAACGAAGTGGGGGGGGACAAAAACAACCAAAAGATAAAAAAAACAGAAGTAGAAGTAGTAGCAATATACAAAAGAAAATGTAGTCAAGATAATTGTCATCGCTTGGGACAATTATCAAGACTATCAAGTTTGTATGTATATATGTATAGATAATTATGAATACCTTCAAAAACTTTTAACTGATTAGTTAGTTTCTTAGCTTAACAGGTTGATCAGGGATCACTGTGCTTTGCCTTCTCGGACATTTCAAATGTCCACTGGAAACAACAATAACAGCAACAATAAAATAAAAAGACAGAGAAGTTGATAAATTATTATCTCGGTAACTGATTGATAATTGAGGTAAGTAATCATCATCTTGGAATGTGGCTTTTTGTTCGTTTGTTTCTTTGCCTGTTTGTTTGTTTGTTTGTTTCCATCTGAAATGCTTCCTAGACAACTGACAGAAAAGAAGAAAAAAAAAAATAGTGTAATATTCACAGGGATGACAGTTTTGGATGTAAGTAGGTGTGTGTATCTGTATGTGTGGCTTCATTTGGGTACGCGTAGGTATAGGCGTCTGTAAAGTCTTCTTTCAACACTGAGGTATTATGTCGATGTTGGAAATGACGTGGATGTTGATGTGCATGTGGATGCGGATGACGATGACGATGAGGAGGATGAGGTGGAGGAAAGAAGACTAGCAGCTTGGACAAATGCACACAAGGCGTAATACTGCATCATTTGTTGTGGGATACCGCTATCACTACTGCTATTAATATTATTATTGTCATTATTATTACTGTTCCCGTGTAGTTCATCATTATTTACTAACCCATTAGCATCATTGCTAAATGTTTGAAACTTTTTTAAATAATTGTATACAAATTCTGATTGGGATAATTTATTGACTTGATCAAAAGGATTATTCATATTTGGGGTATTACTACCGTTCACAGTTAAATCATTTCTGTTTGTATCCAGAGTATCAGTTAATATACTACTATTATTAGTAGTAGTATTATCACTACTACTACCATGATTGTTAGTAGTAACATGCATATTAGTTGTTCCATTGATAGGCAATTTTAAAGTGGACTCATTTCCTTTCAAATGAGCATAGTTCAATAGAATATTCTTCATATCTGTATTCGGGCTGGAACATTGATAATTGGATAAATTTAATAAATTGGCTGAATTCAGTAGATCATTGGCTAAGAGATTGTGAGTAGCATTGACAGAATTCTGTGTTGTTGATGAAGAAACTGTTGAAGTTGCAGGAGTTGATAATTTAGGCAAAAGAAAATTATTAAATTCTTGTGAATTTGTCTGTAATCGACTTAAAAGATACTCCCAGAGAATAGTGTTACTTTTTAAATGAGATGATGTTGATGATAAGGGTATTTCATTGAAAGGTGTTTTCTGTATATCAGGATATTGACTGTTCGATTGATCCTCGTGGGAACGATTCAAATCTGCATTAGAAAAAATAATTTAAAAAAAGGCTTATTTAGATTAAATCAGAGTTACAATAACAAGTTGATTTCGGCTATTAGATAATTCATTGAGGAGTCCCCCATCCTACTTTTAAATAAAAAAGTAGTATAATTCTTCGTTACCTTTTGAATCGAATTGAATTTTAGATTTTCCCGTTGATTGATTGAACCTAAGTGCTTGGTCTCAGGTTGAAATGTCGGCTTCTTGGGCAAATGCTTTGACAATGCCTGGGCAAGTAATTAGAAGTTAACTGGTGGATGATGATTAACAATGGAATCCAGGATGCGTATTTCGTCCTATTCGGGACTCGTCACCGGATGTACCTGCACTCCCCAGTAAATGGTGATGTTCCCACTGGGGCTAGAATCCGGCGCCCACAGTTTCCAATGCCAAAGTGTTATCCACTAGACCACTTGGGCCCGTCGCACAAGAGATAGCTCTCATGGCCAATGGTTGGTAGTCCACCAACTACACCAATGAGTAACACTTCCACTGTAAGCTTATGAGGTAAACACTACCTATTAACTGGTTGGCATGACAGCTATATCTTTAAGAGCTATGGAGAAAGCCTTCGATCCGAACAATATGTACCGATAAGAAGTGAAAGGTCTCATGCCTCCGTTTTCGAACATCTGTTTATCCCAGAAGCCGTGTTATACCACAGATAAAACGAACAAATTACACAGACATCAACCCTCCCCACGTTGATCCTTACAGACTAACTCCTTTAAAAAATAGTGAATTATACAACATTAAAAAGTAAACACTATATAAGTTTTAAACTAAAACTGCGTTTAAATCTAAAAACTATCCAGAAGCAATGAACATACACAGATAAACAAGGAAAGTTACTTCTACTCATGGGAAATTAAAAAATGAACCTGTACTTTCATTAATTTGACTTCTGGGTGGAAAGTAAGGCTTCGTTTATCAAGTTTCATTAGCGGTGGAGTTACTTGCCTCATGCTTAATATATCCTCTTTACCTGAGCTTACTACCCACTAGATGCGGTTTCAGAGTGCATTGGCCAGAGATCTAACCCGGATCACGTGTATGGTTGGTGAGAATACTACTACCTCTGGACCACTGACGCACATAAAAATGACCTATCATGCAAATATTTCGAATCAAACCAATACATGAAAAGTGTCAATGTATAAAATCAGGAAAGATATTAAATGGAGTTTAGAAAAGGAACGGATAATTACACAGCAAAGTGTGTACCTGTTTGGTTCTTAATGTCAGTTAAAGTCTGGCGACTAAGTCTGCACACAACAGTTATAAATTTGAGTGATATAGTACTAAAGACCTTAGATATAATACTCGTAGATACACTATACTCAGAGACAGAAGACTCTGCATCTAAAATTTCATTGAATGTTAACATCTTTTGACATGGCATAACTTCACTTCTGAGCCAATTCACTATTCTATTCCACCTTTGAAACCATGTCACTCAGTGATGCAGCAAAAGATTGTAGTAGGCTTCAAGTAAAATGAGACTCCAAAATGTCGACAGTTGAGTAATGGGTACACAGTCAAATGTATTCACTGATGAGGTGACCAGATATAGTTTATTTAAATGACATTTGTTAATAAATACATATTCAAGAGTTTATTTGTAAGGATTAGATTTGTTTATTTTTTTCGAGTTTGACCACGGATTGACATCAGTTGGAGAATCACTGAACACAACCAGGGAGTACTTGACACCAGTATGCATCCACCTGGATTTGAACCCAGGACCTTCCGCTTACAACCAAGCTCGTGTACCATAGGCCATTAAATCAGGTCCCAGTGGCTGAATGGTATACGAGTTCGCCTTGTAACCAGAAGGCCCTAGGTTCGAACCCCAATGGTCGGTGTGTACTGCCGGTGATTCCCAAACTAGGCTAAGGAAACAGCTGTCCAGTACTCATTGCTGGTTTTCAATGGTTCTCTTACTGATATCAATCCGTGGGCAAACTCGAAAAAACAAATACATATATTTCAACGCAGATTTCGTCATGAATCAATATTAATCAGAGAAGCATTCAAACCAGGGAACACTGATGAGTTGTTTCGTTCTATTTTGAGACTTTTCAGTGGCGCGCACCCACGACCTTAGCATGGATCGAACCTAGTACCTGAAGGCTATGAGTTAACCGCGTAAAAATCAGTCAGCCACTGGGTCTGTATCGAATCACTAGTGAAATTTAACATCTGACAACTCGTGATCTACATTGAAATTCAGCAGAATATATGTATATCATATCACCTGAATCTCTCAGAAGTGCCTAGACTACTGTTAATTAAAAATAGTTATAAGGAAACAGGCAAGCCTCTAAAAAGTGACCTGTAACTTTTATATTTCTCAATTTATAGATAAGTAATTAACTTGGCAGTGCTCAAAAGAACTCATTTTCTGGATGAATACAAGGTAAATATTCACTACAGGAGTTAGTTTCACAAATAAAATACAGTTGGTTAACAGTGGGATTGAATAATCAGTTTAGTTGCCTCAAAATATTTATAATTATGCATGACGCTATATACTACTAATTGACTGGTATGAGTAGTTGGACACGGCCGACATCAACCAGATTTGTTTACTAGCCAGGTTATCGAAGTGATCTAAACGCCAGAAGACTATTTCACTCATTTAGGACTGGACTTATCAGTAGTGTACAAGTTTTAACTAAACCAGTAAGGTACAACAGATCGAAGGTGAAGATAGTTACCCACCGAAGACACTGTTAGGTAGTCATGCTATGTTGTGAATTGGCAGAAGTTGGAGATCATGGACTGGCGATTGGATCGGGTCCCAGAGGCTGGATGGTCTACGAGTAACCAGAAGGTCCTAGGTTCGATCCCTGGCGGTGGAGGGTGAGTACTGCTGAAGAGTCCCAGACTATACTGACGAAACAGTTGTCCATTACTCCCAGCCGGTTTTCCAATGGTTCTCTAGCCGATGTCAGCTCATGATGAAATCCTCCAACCAATCAAACAACACAAAAAACCCTACAAACCCATATTTGTAAACTAAAGGGCCTGCTCACTCCAGACGAAATGGTAAAACATTGAACCATTGGTGTTTGGATTACTTAGATCAGGCTAGTACCTACTACTGGTTGGTGTGGATGGTATACTACTATTCGTTTCAATTAATAAGTAGTATGAAGTAGATGGCATACTGTGATCTAAATAATTTCAGTTTCCAAAGCAAAAAGGTGGTAAAAAAACTCCACCTCGTACTGTGCAAATCACGAATTCATTCTGTCTATAATGGTTCCCAGAAGTTCTGTTGGCAAACGAAGTATGCATAGTTAACACAATGGTGAATACATGTCTTAAAACAAAAAATATTTCTTTAATCAACGACAGTCTGATAACACTCTTTCATCTTCATTATACAAACAACCACTTTAAGATAAACATGGAATTTGAAACTGTCGTTTTTTCAAACACTTTAAATTATTTAACCACACGCTCATAAATTCACACACACACACACACAGAGACAGAAAAAGGCACAAACAACTCTTGGATTTCTTTTGTTTGTGTTCTACTTCAATCAGCCATTTATGCTATTTGTTGAAAAAAGGAAAAAACAACCAATTTTTTAAAACAAAAAACACTTCAAAAACACATACACATAATTGTTTAAATTTCAAGATCTTTTATTTGCATTGAATTCGGTGGAAATTTTAATCTCCTCGTCTTATGCATACACTAATGAGTGCGAGAGCACACACAAGCCAACACACACACGCACACACACACCTACATATGAATGCACAGGAAACATTTTAGTGATAAAGTGGTTTAACATATGAAATTTTTAATTGAAAATTACTTAAATGTCATTCAACAGAAGACTTTCTTCGCATTGCATTCGCCACCCACCCACCCCCTCCCACACACACGCACACACACACGCACACACAACTCACCTCTGAGCAGTAGTAGTGGGAAACAAACCACATTAATTCCTATCGACACTTACACACATTCTCTATGCTCAATCGACTAATAAAATAAAAACACAATTGCTATTTAAATAATAATAATAATTAATAAATAAAATAAAAAAATAAGGAGAAGTCGTTTTATAAAATTAAAAAGGCCTTGTTCGCCAAACAAAAAGAAACAAACTGTTCGACAGGAATGCTTGACGGAGCAGTGAAGTACAGAAATCTACGTTGAAAGATCTGTCGATCAGTTATTTTATTTTATTTTATTTTTAAATCTTTTTTTTTATGTCGTTATTTAAAGGAAGTTATGATAATTGACTGTGAATTGGGAGATTTTAGACAAACTTCACTTTAACTGCTTACAATAAATAGACGGACGGAAGAACTTATTAGAATTTCATGTTTAACTTTTTGTTTCATCCAATTATGTATTTCCTTTGAGTAAAATATTCTGTCTAACACATGATAAAGACTAGAAGAAATTTAATGTTATAACTGTTGTTCTGTAATTCTTCTACTAAATCACTTTATCAAATTAACGGCTAACTGTTAATTGTTAATATTGTTGTCCCATTAGGTTGAGAGTGGAACATATCGTTTCAGCAGGACGTCCCAATTTTTGCCTATTTTCTGCAGTCCCCTTTTTGACCGGGCCCAAGATTGTTCATACTTTCTCACCTTCGCCTTACGCTATCTCCTTCACAACATCCTCTGATCAATGTCCTACTAGCCGTTTCATATTAGGGTTCCAAACGAACAACGGCCCGATACGTGATGTTATTCAATGGTCTACTCAGCGTATGCCCTATCCATTTCCATTCTCTTTAGGACAGCTCTTCAGCAATCCGTTCTCCGTCCATTTGTCCCCAACCAGAGTTTCTTCTTGTTCATCTTCTTTATGGAGCCAGTGAAGACAGCCGTTGATAAAACTCTGAAACCTGTTGGAAATGCATTTCTGGACGCCTGGTGCAAGTTTCTCACCCATATGCAAGTGCGCACTGAGTTGATATTTCTGTTTGAAAACC